AAATAACGTATGGAACTTCCTAGCTGAGGACTTTGAGCCTGAAATAAAACTGCTGGGAATCTAAAGCATTTTGTCCAGCACACAGAAATATGTGTGTTCTTAAGTCTAGGCTTTTGAACAGCAAAATACAGAGGCCCGGACAGAAGTTAGTTCAGTCTTAAATTTATATGTCCTTAAATTTGTATGTCCTTAAGAATAATCCAGCTTGCCTGTTGCCAGTGTCTTTTTTTTTTCAGTCAAAGTGATAATATGAGGGAGTTTCTTGATGTCTCCCTGTCCCCCAGAGCAGAGAGCACCTAGGTAAGCATGCTGCAGGGCAAAGAAGCAAGCGGGTGGATGTCCTGTATCTTTGGGTGGGAAGGCAAGGGGAGAGCGTTGCGGTTTCAATTCTGCTAGTGAAGTGAGGTGGCAATGTGTCCACCCCGGTTTAAATAGGTCTCCTCTGCTCTTTCATCTTGGTGCGCTGTGCACTTAGGTTACGTGTAGAGGTAGAATCCCAGTCGGGCATGGATCAGCTCGGTAGCTGCCTAGTGGGGCTGGGGATACTGAGGCTCGCTGGCGGCGTCCGAGTTGGCTTCCCCGTGGAGGTGATGAGAGAGAAAACTTTGGCTTGGGGTGACGTTTTGAAATTTGTAATGGGCACTTCTGAAGAAGGAAAAACCATGAAGAAAAACATGTCATATCTGCATGAAAATAAAAGAAAACACAGTAAGTAGAGCTTGATGGGAGGTAGACTCCGTCAGAGCAGGTGGTGCCTGCAGAGTACTGTTTGCAAGTGCCTGCTTCGTTGTCGCAGTGGAAGGGTGCTTGGTTGCAAGGGTGGGCTTATGGAGGAAGGGGCTTCTTTCCTTGCGTCCTCTGTGTGCTAAAACCTCTCGCACACTTCCCCTAAGGTCTTTGGTTACTTCACCTCCTGAAGACTGACAGCGATACAAATGCAGGGAGGAAATGCCATGGTATTCAGAAAATATTAATTTTTTTCAATCCAGTTATTAATCCAATTAAGGTGGACTGACAAGTGAGAAAATGTGGACTTGCTGATTGCATGTATGCCAGCATGTTCACTGTACCTCTGAATCAGTTTTGGGAAGCTCACCCTGGTTTTCGTCTTTGCTGTGGAATGAAGTTTTATTTGAATGTCCTGAATGTCTTTACTGCTTCTGTTAATTATTTTATCAAGCATGCTCCTTCCTCTCTGCCACCCTCTCCCTGCCCCCACAAACCACCCCTGTGCGTCCATTTTTGTGCACGGACTTGTCATGCTTGCATGAAGTCTGGAGGAGAAAAACTAGCTTGCTCTTCAGTTAATTACTAAATCTTGCTAATTTCTCACTGAAATGAAAATAAATGTTTCATGTTATTTTTCAAGCTTATGAAAAGGCTTTCAATACTGAATTGTTCAGAATGGAATGCATAATGTAACAAAGCAAGCCAAACTTCTTCTTCTCTCCAGGGGCAGAAGTTTTTTTAAAATGTGGGAAAAACTTCCCCTGAAGTCCCGGGCAGGCTGACTCTTACTAGTGAGACTGAAAGGTGTTTTTGTGATGACATTGTTTCTGTCCTGAAATAGATCTGAATAAATTGTATTTTTCTAGGAAAAAATGTCAGATAAGGAGGATTAGGGAGTTCTAGCAACTTTAAACTTGCTTTTTCTGTGCTGAGTTCCTGCAATAAATCTCAGCGGTTGTTTGTTACAGTAAAACTCTGTCATCATCTACGGTCAGTTTGGTGAATTTTTAGTTGCTCTAGCTGCCTTCCTCGCACAAGGGTATTCTGGGGAGTCCTATTCTCCTGGCAGCCTCCCCAGCTCAAGAAACATAGTTTTTTTAAAAAAACTTGAATGTTTGGGCATATCTGGAAAAGCAATTTTGGGTGTTAGCTTCTGCGTAAGTAAAAGCGTGATCTAACAGACATCTGCAGGTGGTGTGAGTGGCAAGTTAGCGACTTCGGAAAATCCAAGCTCAAGGTAGGCGATACTTGGCGGTCGCCAGGAGGGTCTGGGAGGCGGGAAGCCACCGTGCCCCTCGGCTCTGGGTGCTGCTTGGGCCGGGTTTGGCTGGTGCCGTGGGATTACGGCTGGGAGGGAGCGGCGTGGGAAGGCTCCCAGGACCGGCAATTTTGCCGTGCAGCTGCAGGCTCCCAGAAGAGTTTGATTCAGGAAATGCCATCTGCTGGTATTGTGGAAACAGTAAAATTTTCTACGCTTATCTTTTTTAATTTGGCCTGAAATAAGTCATTTCATAAAATAAATACTTTTTTCTTTAACCTCCAACAGAAAGAATGAGTGCATTATTTTAAAATAAACCATCGGCTATTGTGCGACTTCTTTTTTTCCAAATAAACTTGACAGTTGCTATTTAGCATACTGGCATCTAGCAGCGTTCACAAACTCTGTATGCCCTCAAGCCCTCACTGTCCACCTTCTGTGACTAGTTCTTTTCCCCACGGCCCATGCAGTGGCATGGAGCAACCCTATGTCACAGTGCTTATAGAAACCCTGTAGTTATTTAGGCTGTAGCTGGATAGTCACTTTTTCTTCCCCCTTCCACGTGTACCCAAAGTTGAAGCTGATGCTGCAGTTCCACTGATGGAGAGTGAGGTCTCAGTCCATCGAGCCTTGCCCGAGGACCGGCTGCGGACCCTGCTGGTTCGGTCCTGCCGGCAGCAGGAGGCTGGGGATGAGGAGACGCAGGGGTCGGGCACCAAGCGGGTCGGGCACTGGGAGCCGGCCGGCGTTTGGGCTGTGCTGCTGTGTCTCTGACTGCGGTGAGCTGGACTGGAGGCGGCCGGGCACTGCTCCAGCTATGGTGTCTTGTCGAGTCGCTTCATCTCCCTACAGGAAACCTGTTATACTGTAGTCTCATAAATACTGTTCTCTCTAGCAAACCTGGTTTTGCTGTTGGGGTTTTTTTTAACGCTCTTTCTCTCAGTTAACTAAACATTCCTTGCCAGTTGCTCATTAAGATGGGACACACCTTAGGCTGTCTGATTGAGACTCAGTGAACACACAAGAGGTACAAGCCCTGAATATCTGTAGCTTTCTCTGGTTTGCCATAGGGTGGTTGTTTTTTCAGTAGCTTGTTATTTTCCCTTCATGTTGTAAGAGCCTCTGGACTTTGCTTTGGGAGGAGCTGCAGCCTTTGCCACACCGTTGTGCTCTGCGGCGGCTTTTTTAGCTTAAAACTTTCGCAGCGGAGACAAGATCCCGAAAAAGAGCTGAAGAAGCTGTTACCTCTCTGCGAACTGTGCTGAGTTGCGTGCTGAAAAGTGCTGGGAAGCGTCAGTGTGGCCGAAGCACACAGGAGTGACCAGAAGCGGGAAGCTGCCTTGCCTGCCCCACAGTCTCACGCTGCTGCCTTTCCCCCCCGGTGCCACAAAATGCCCCCTCCCCGGGCACTGCCTGGCTGCTGAGGCACCCACCTCTGCTGGCTGCTTCTGCCCCCCCCCGCAGGCTCTGCACGGGCACCCTGCGGCAGAGAACGGTGATGGAAGTACAAACAGAAGACACGGACTGTTCAAATGGTAGCTTAGTTAAATAATTTCATATTTAAGCGTCTGCTAAAAGAAGGAAAAAAGCTTGCCTCTGAAGATCTTAGGTTAATTGTTTTCAATTGCATTTAAGTTGCAGTCTTTTTAAGAATTGTCAGCTAGAAATGTGGGTCACTGCAGCAGGCTGCATGTGTAATAGTTAAAAAAACAAACCAAGACAAACCCCATAGTGTGAACTAGCTTTTGCAGGGCTCCTTGTTTTAGGTGTAGTCTCTAGCTGCTGGGACAACAGCATCGCCCTGGTATGTCATTCTGCAGTTAGGGTATCTGGCCTCAGTCCACGCTACAGCCGAAAAAGGCAGCAGTCCTTGCTGCTGCTTTCTTTCTCGTCCCTCGTCCTGGCACTCGCGTTTGCGTGGCTGTACAGTGAGCCAGCTGGGAGGAAACCGATCCTCTTAAACCTTTTTCTGTATTTGTTTTTTAGTGGATTAGCTTTCAGTCAATTGATTCCTTGCTCTGGGTGTCTGCAACCACGCGAACCGGGTTTGCTGCGTGAGTGCTAGCTCAAGGGAGTGGAGGAGGAGGCAGGAAGGGGACGTGTTCTTGGGCCATCCCTCCTGGTAGGTGCTTGGACTGGCTGAGTGGTGGCACCTGCAGCAGTGATATGCTTAGTCTGTGTGTCTATGCCCAGGCTTTGTATGGGCAATGTGCTCGTACTGAGGACGTGTTTAGGATGCTCGTGCTGGAGTGAAATGTGATCAGTGAAGCCAAAGCAGGCTGGAGAGAGCAGGAGAGGTATGGAGACAAGGGCCCTGCAGGCACTGATGCTGCAGGAAAAGTCTTGAGATCAAGAGCTAGCTTGGAGGTGAAGTTTAAGATTTGTAGAAATAAGAGAGTACTGTCTCTTGGCACACCTTGGAGCGTTTTTAAAGTTTAGTCCCAGTTAAGACATTTTTAATCAACTCACGTTTGGGTAAGGGTTGCTGCACTTAGCTGCCACCGTCCGGCAGCCAGCTTCCAGCCCTCCGGAGGACTTTCCCAGCACATGAAGGTCAAGAATGACCAAGACCAGATCGCACTTAAATCTCATCTCCATAGATGAGGTAACTGCTTTAGCGACAAAGGCAGAGCGTTGTTTGGGGCTTAGCGTGTTTTCGCAAGGCGGCTGACGCAGCCTGCCACGGCATCCTCCTGGCCAAGCCGGGGAGGTAGATACAGGTGGGACGGGTGGAGAGCTGGCTGGGCCATCTGACGTGTGCTGGTGGTTAGTGGCTTGAGGGCTGCTGGGCGGACGGCTACCGGTGGCGTAGCTCAGATGTTGGTAATGGGGCTGACGCAGTTCAACACCTCATTAACAGCCTCCATGAGCGGGCAGAGCCACCGTCAGCAAGTTTGTCCCTGACACCAAACTGGGGGAGGAAGAAGCAGTTAATGTGCTGGGCTGCCATCCAGACCAACAACCTGGGGCACAGGCTGACCCATCTTGCCTACTTCAGGGAAGACAAGCAAGCATGGGACGGAACAACCCCGTGCGACAGGATGGGCTGGGCTGGGCGGTAGCACTGCAGAGAGGGCCTGGAGGTGCCGGTGGACAAGCTGAACGTGGACCAGCCAAAGTTTTTCTGTGGTTCTGTGAAATTCTATGCTGGAGGAAGATTTCCGTCTTAAAATGTGTTATAGAGGCCTTAGGAAAGGACAGAGTAAAATGCCGGAGAAGTTCGTAATCGACACAAACTGAAGGGTTCATGAATGTGTGGTACTGAGGCAATGTGTGTGATGGTGGGAGGTTTGCCTGCCCTAAGGAGGACAAGGTACACGGGTGGCAAGTGGATATGAAATGTGAAGACTGCAGGAGTGGTTATGGGAAGGGAAGTGCTTTAGCTGGAGTCCTGCATTGGTGGTGTCTGTGTATGCTGTTTTCTTTCAAGCAAAGGCATCCTGGGGGGGCTTTTTGTTTTCTTAAGTGTCTTGTAAGCAAGGCGAGG